TTTGGTTGCCTTTGAAGGCTGGCAGGACTCATCCAGTAGGTATTCCTTGTAATGTACGTCTTTTAGGTGCCATGTTCGCTGTGAGGCAGAATATTTGCTTTGAAATACGCGGGATATTTTCGAAACGTCATCATGTCATTTAAACCAATCACGTTTAAAACAGGAAAATCAAATCACAGAAGAGTATATGCGCAAATTCACGCATCTTAAAAATGATTTAATGCTTTAGTTTGTATTTTCCATTTGTTATTTCCTGCGAAAGAAAAATATATGCTGCATACTTGACCATTAAAATTGTTTTGTGAATTTCATGTCAACCGTTTAACGCTCATTGGTCAGGTGTAACGGAAAAGTTCTACGATCATTCGGGTAGACATCAAACTCAAATGGCTCCGTTTAAGTTCGGGATATTTTATTTCAGAGACAGCTCTATTCATGTCGAAAGTACTGACATCGTAACACCTCAGTACAGAACGAAGCTTGTCCAGGTGTTAACACGGCCGGACCTCTCAAGTGAAGACGGATGGATCGAAGTATACTTCGTGAAAAGGAAAGGACCACAAAAAAAGGTCGCCGCAAAACTGCTCTTACTAGGAGGTTTGTATTCTTCTAATTGCATATGAATTGTAAATGTTGTGTTGTGCTTGAAATTCAGTTTTGGTTGCGGGTATCCTGCACAATTTTATTAACATTTCCTGCCCTATAACCGCGAAATGCGTACGGTATCAACGGTACAAGTACCGTGAAAACATGGCAAGAAACTGAACTTGACGGCACTAACAGTGAGATTAGTGTGTAAATAAGTGCCTGCACGTATTTTTGAGAGTAAAACACGTCCGTAATAGTACAGCAATGTTAGGAAAAGGAATGGCTAATGCAATTGAATTCGTGCTGTTTACATTTAGTTTAAATTTGGAATTCTCAGGCCTGCTTTGACTGACATGAAATGGCAGTAAAGCTGCGAAATGCTGTAACAATTGTATAAATGGCATTTTGTTTTCCACAGACAGCTATAAGGAGTTGCTAGAGAGAAAAAAAGCCTTCCTCAGGAATGAGGACATCTGGCCCATGGCAGTTGAGAGGAGAAGAGCTGCAGTGTGTGATACCTCTCATGATGGAACCCAGGCAAAGGTTGTTCTCAATTCTTTTGAGTAATTTTATAATGCCAATATTTTATAGTCAGTTGTGATGCAATTAATATGACACAAATAGTTTTAAATACTTTTTTAAAGTCCTTTTAATCCTTATTCTTCTATTAGCATTTGACATTAGACTGTAACACCTTTTAGCTGTTCCATCTAAAGAACACCTATGAAATTTAACAAAAACCACGATTGGTTCTTATGACATCGCTAGTAATATCTTTACTGTGTATCTTTTGCTTACTTTTCTTGCTGACTGGAAAGAGAAAGGGATGAAGACTGTCATATCCACATACAAAATGGATAATAGATCTATTGCTCTGTAATATTTTGATGTTTCTTGTGCAGAAAAAGAAAAATAGTAAAACAGCAGATACCAGTGTCACCTCGGACGATGATGAGACAGACATTGAAACACCACAAGTCTCTTGGACAAACGTATGTTTATAGAAATAAGACAGTAGAAAGACATGACATTTCTAAATTTAATCACCATGAAGTTTAATGTTAGTAAAGGATAATTGAACTCCATCTGATTTTGTTCTGTTTTTTGGGCTGGGTTTCTCAGTT